GCCAGAGAGGGGCTTAGTGAGAGGAGGGTCAGACAGTGTCGTCCCGGCTGACATGCGCGGGGCCGAGAGAGCGGCAGCAGCAATGCCCACGTGGCCAAGGACTGTAGTAGGGGAAGAGGAGCAAGGGGGTGCTTGGTCCCTGGTGGCGGGGGGTCTGGCGGTTGTGTTTTACCTCTCAGGACCTCTCAACACCTCGACAGGCCGCAGCCTGGGCTCTCTACAAGGGGGGCCTCCGGGGTGGAGATGGTCTGGTCTCTGAGCAGTGGACATGGACTTTGTGCAGCACGCCCTGCTCCCAGAAGTCCCTGTGCCCTGAGCCATCGTGTTCCCTGAGCTGTGTCTCGCACAGACTGGCGGAGGGTCCTCCCCTGGCGCTCTGTCTGCACACCTGCTGCCTCCCAGGCCAGGCTCACAGCTTTGGCTCACGTTGTTCTGCTAAGTGCAGATTTAAGGTGACTCGACTGTGTCTGCAGGACACAGGTGCGGCCTGGCTAAGTCAGAGGTGGGACAAGCTGAGCACAGGTGACCGACCTTGACCCCCAGGACTAAGGGTCCTCGGGAGCTGGCTGGCTTTGGCCTCCGTGACCAGCCGGGTGGGATGGCCCCAGCCAGTAGGAGCCCAGTTTTAGCCCAGTCCTCACTCTGAGCTGCCTGTGCCACCCCGAGCCCCAGGACCCTGTGTCACCACTCACTTGGGCAGGGGTCACGCTGGCAGGCTTTGGTCTCCCGGCCGCTGCCTTTGCAGTTCTTGCCGCCCATCTGGGGGACTGGGGAGTTGCACAGGCGGATGCGTGTGATGTTGCCGACCCCACAGGTGACAGAGCATGAAGACCAGGGTGACCAGTGGCTCCAGCCGCCGTTCTGTCGGACTAGCACACGGAAGCACAAAGAGACCAGTGTCTGGCTGTGTCCAGAGGCTGGGCCACCCCAGGGTTGCCTTCTGCTGCACATGCCCAAGGACAGAGAGGCGAGGGTGGACAGCTGTCACCTTTGCCCCAGAGTCCTCACACCAGACTGATGACTCCAGCTGCCAGAGACAGCCCCGGGTGCGGGCAAGGGTGAGCCCCGTCCCTGGCCGGCCCCAGAGGGGGCAGGCAAGGGTGCTGATACTCACTGCGGGTGTCACACTTGCCCAGGCTGCAAGCCCGCGTCTGGATGGAAGGGCCTAGGCAGGTGTTGCTGGTGACATCGCATGACCGGCCTCTCTGCTGGGTCCCAGAGCCACACGTGACAGAACACTCGGTCCACTCTGCCCATGGAGACCAGCCCTCCTCGCTGTCCATTGCTGGCCAAGAAAGCATGACACAGAGGTCAGGCCCTGCCTCCGGGAGAGGCCCGGGTCAGAACTGGCAGCTCAGCACGGCCTGGTTCCTGCTCAGGAGACTTGGGCACCTCCCAGGCACAGGCTTCCCGACGGGGTGGCCCCCATGGTGGTGGCAGGCCCCAGAGAAGACCGGGCAGCCATCGCCCAGGAAGATCCCAGTGGCCTTCCCGGGGAAGAAGGGCGTGGACGTGGGATGGACATGGGGTCTGCTGCTGTCCGCGGGAGGAGAGCGTGCGCTGGGCGTGCAGGGAAGGTGGCTCGGGGCTGAGAGCAGCTCGCAGGGGCTCTGGCAGCCGCGGCCTCGCCAGAGCCTGAGGACGGCCGCCCTCCTCTCCACCTGGCTGATGGAGCCAGGCGGCCAGCCTCACTGCTGGTTGGAATCACAGCCCGCAGCGCGCACTTCCAGACTAGAGACATCAAGGAAAAGACAACTTCCTGCCGAGGCTTCCTTCCCCTCAACCAGAGGGAGAGGGCGATGTCACCAGGGAGCTTTCCGGCAGCGCTGTGGCCGGGCGCCGCGGACGCCGGGGGCAGAATGGCCCAGGAGGCCAGCCCGCCTCCTGTCCACTTGCTCCCTGTGCCCTAAACGCCTCCCTCCAACGGCCTGAGGTGGCTGTCCCAGGGCCTGCCCTGGGCACCCGGCAGTCCAGCCGTCACCTGCAGGCCCATGGTCATTTCGAGCCAAGCTGACCTGCTGTGCCAGGGACGGTTTCTGCTCCCGACACCGAGTCTGAGACTGGAATTCCATTTTGCTGGGAATCAGAGCAGCAGAGTCTGGCTCCTCCCAGCCCAGTTCTCTGCTCAGATCCAGAGGTCAGGGGTCCCCAGGACGGCCCCAGGACCACCAGAGGGGAAGGTCCTCCCAGCCGTGCTCGGCCAGGCCCAGCAGAGCCCTCTCAGTCCGAGTGTCCCTGGAAGCAGGACAAGGGGAGGAGAAGGACGGCCTGAAGGGAGACGGCACTGGACACAGCTCCCCAAGGCCACAGGGCGGCACACCCAGGCCCCCGGCCTCGGCCTCAGAGCCAGCCTGAGGGGGGGTGCAGTGCTGGGTGACCAGGACTCCTGGGAGCAAGTGTGCTGGGCAGCAGGCTCCCAAGGGACAGGAGGAGGGTGAGGCCTGGCACCCAGGGAAGGAGAGCACACCCCAGGCTAGACCCCAGCAATGGAGGACAGTGTCCTCAGAGGGAGGCGGCATGTCCAGCCCAGAGGGAAGACCGGGCTCTGCACAGGTGCAGGATGAAAGCCGCGAGCTCCGGCCGAGCTGAGGCTTGGGCCAGGGGCAGTGTCCCCAGGCACCCAGGTGGCCTGGCTGGGAGCCACTGCAGGGTGAGCTCGGGGGTCAGGGCTGGGGAGTGGGCTGCAGGGTAGCCAGCGTGGAACAAGCAGATACAGGGGACGCTCTGGTGCCAGCCCAGTCCTCTGCACAGTGGGCTGGACCCAGGGAGGCCAGCATCTCCCTCCCCATCACTGGGAACATTCTATGGCTGAGAGAGTGTCACTGGTGACAGCCTCGGGGTTCTGTGTGTCTGTCTCCCTGCTGTTCCAGAGGTGGCTCTGCGGTGACCAGTCATGACCCTTCACGGTCTCCACCTAGTGTGGACACTGGCCAGAGCCTGGTGTTCACACAGGGCCTCGCTCTGGCCCAGAGCCAGGTCTGTGGACATGACAGGATCCTGGGGCTCAGCCTCCTGCTCTGAGGAGTGACAGAGAGGGCTTGGGCCAGAGGCAGTGTCCACACTAGGAACCCTGGCCCCTGCATTCTGAGGACCCTAGAGTTGCTTCCTGGTCACGGGCTAGGAAAATGCGGAGACCCAGATGTCCCTCAGCGTCCCATCTGCCTGTCCTCACCAGGCTGAGTCTCACCCTCCTCTGTCCCCACCAACCAAGGAGCAAACTCAGCAGCCACGACCCTGCCCTGCGGGTGCTCGCGGGCAGTACTCACAGTGGGAGCAGGAAGGACAGCACTCGTCCTCGGCAAAAGCTGGGCTGGCGCAGGTGGCAGGTGGGCAGGAGATCTGGTGGCAGACGACTTTGAACTTCTGTAGGTAAAGGAGGCACCTCAGGCCACTCACTAAGGGCCAGCAGGGCAGTGGACGTCTTGTGTCCAGGGTCCTACATGATAACCCAAGACGTGGCCTGGCCTGAGGTAGCTCGTGGGCCCAGCGGGTCCTGTCTCCTGCCACTCAGCAAAGAGATTGCAGCAAAGCCTGGCCACGGGCATGCTAGGGGAGGAGGACGGGCGGGCAGGGTGGCCTGGTGCTGGGGGATGTCTGGGTCCCCATGCACAGAAACTGGTCGTCACTGAGAAGAGCCAGGTCCTCTAGTGTCCTGACGCTGACTTGCATCCCATAGGCTTCTGCTAAGCACCAAGGCCCACTGGACCTGCACGGCATCAGACACGGGCTCAGGGGCCTCTGGGGAGCTCCGTTCCAGGTGTTCCTGGCCTCTGGCGACACTGGCCAGTCACACACTCTCCGGCTCTGGCTTCTTCATGTGTGAAGCCTAGAGGCTGGGCCCGGTCACACTTCGGTGCCTCCCACTGTCCCCTCCAGCCCTACCCCCGCCTGCCTGTGTCTGGCCACGCTCTGCTGCAGCCCTGTGTCTGTGGCCTGCAGGTCGCCGAGCTCCGCCGTGCTCAGAGGCGGCCTGCGGGGCCCCAGGAACTCACCTTGCAGGTGCAGGACGTGCAGCTGTCCACCACCCAGGTTTCGTTTTCTGCAAAGAACCGGCCATCCTGCCAGCAGGCCGTCATGTTCCTCGTCTTAGGAGGGCCACCAAGAAGCTCGAGCAGGAACTGGTTATCATTTGACTGCAAAGGGGTCCAGCATCAGGAGTGGACAAGAACGCAGCGCCATCTCGAGCCGTCTGAGCAGCTCCAGGCGCAGGCAGCAGGGACCCACAGCGCGGAGCCCGAGTGTGCAGACGGGAAGCCGCGGAGCCCGAGCCACAGACCACCCCAGCACCCTGGGCTTCCCACTCCTTCTCTCAGTGAGACCCAGCTCACGAGCCCCAACACCTGGGTGGGCCACGCCGCTGGTGCTGGGCAGTGGGCAGGTGTCTGGGGCAGGGCAGGAGGAGCCGCAGCTGGCTGCAGCCCGGAATCACTCATTCCTGCCCCCCTCCAGGCAGGACAGCCACAGTGCAGAGGCGGGGAAAGAGGCCGCAGGGACTGCCGCCCGCCAGCCAGCTGAGCCAAAGCCCTGGGGGCTCTCTGCCTGTTGCTGCCCCCAGGCAATCCCTAGTGTGGCCAGCAGGCCCTCTGATGGCACAGCCATCAGCAACACTTCCTGACACACCCGGGAATTGATCACGGTGCTGCCTTCGCAGAACCCCTGACAAAAAGGCAGACTCGCTGCAGGACAGGGTCTGTGGTTCAGGTTGCCCGGGAGCGCGATCTGGAAGCAACCTCAGTGCCCTCGACCCCCAGCATGGGCAGACACCTGCCGGGAGGCTGCCAGAGGACCACCTGCAAGAGCTGCTCCCACTTCTGCTCCGTCACATGCCCCATGGAGGGTGCCAGGAGGCTGCTCCGCCCTTGGGGTGCCCCTGAGCCAGCCCTGGGGCCTTCTGGGGCCCTTCCACTACCCAGCAAGGGACTGTAGTCCTGGGTCCCTCACGTCCAGACAGGGTCAGAGCACCCCACATAGGGGCTCCTTCCATGTGGGGACAGAGGGGCCAGGGAGTGCCTCGGGCGGGAGCCCGGGCCCACAGCCGTCTCCTCCCTCACTCCTCCCACCCCCCGACGCAGTCCTCTGGGGAGCAGCTGCTGTTCTTTGGTGGACACTAGCTCAGCCGTGTGGACGTCACGGGCAGCATGGCCAGCTCCTGAGCTTTGAGGCACCCAGGGCTCTTGCTCTCTGCTTTACGGAGCTAAAGATGCCCCAGAGCAGCCCATGGCCCCCGTCTGTCCGTCTGGCTGCTGCTCACCCTGCCTCCCCCTCTGCACAGGCTTGTTTCTGTTTGTGGGGAGGAGAACTTGTCCAGATAAGGGCGTGTTTTGGAGAACGTGCATCCTGCGCCTGCGTCTTCATCATGAGGACCCCCGAGTCTCCCTCCCCTGAAGCCCTGCCCCAGCGTCCCGGAGCCAGCATGCATGCCCCAGAGGCAGCTGGCTGCAGGGAGGTGTGGCCCTCTGTGGGGCCCCGCCCCCGCGTGCCTGGGCACCCACCACTCTCCTCAGGTTCTCGCTGAGCTGGTTCACCAGGACGTGCAGCCCCGAGAGCTCGCTGATCACGTTGCCCAGCTCCTCGCAGGAGTGCTCGCACACCTCCGGCCTTCTCGCCACTCCCTGGCCCACAAACTCCGTGGTGACGTGAGGGCCCAGGTGCAGCGTCTCCGTGTGCTCGCTGATGGCGTTGATCTCAGCTGGGAACACACACCAGGGCAGTGAGCGCCTGGCCTCTGGTGCTGGGTGCAGGTGCCCCACAGCAAGGCGGGAGCGGCCCTGTGCTGAGTTGTACCCAAAACAGAGGAGGTGGGCAGGGACCCGACCTAACAGAAAGGGAGCCTCCCTTACAGCAGGGTGCTCAGCATTTACAGTCCACTAGCAGAGGGTCAGGGCCACACCTGTGATCCCAGCCACAAGGGAGGCTGAGGCAGGAGGCTCCCAATGCCAGGTCACCTCAGCAGCCAAGCAAGACCCCGTCTCAAGATGGAAACTAAAATGTGCTGCCAGCGTGGCTCAGTGAGGAGTGCTCCCGGGCTCAGTCCCTGTGCCACCAAAGACAAGTCCACTGGCAGAGCAGGAGTCCAGCTTAGGATCAGAAGAATGCCGAAAGTGCAGCCAGACCAGAGACCGAGGCCTGTAAGTGGGTGCCCTGCCCTGGGCCCTGAGCCTCCAGCAGACGGAGTCGGGGAGCAGCCGCGAGCTCTGGTCGTGCCTTCTCTTTGCCCCACCCGTCCCCTGTTCAGCCACAGACGCAGGCACACTGAGGGTCCCTCTCCACCTTCCTGGGTCCCTTCTCCACCTAACACCCTGTCCCAGGGTCCTGGCACACTGGGCTCCTCTGCCTCTTTCTGCCCTCAGGTCTCTCATGGCCCCGGAAACCAACCACGCAGGCCCTCCCGAGCCCTGGCCCATGGGCGCACGTGGGCAGGATCCTCAGCTTACAAAGTGACCTGGGGCGTCCCAGAGGGGCCCAGCTCCCTGTCGGGTGACTGTAGGCACTAAAGGGCCGTCTCCTTTCAGACCTTCCATTTCTGAGCTGCGCGAGTATGTGAGGTGCTTCTGCCGTACCCACGTGAGTCTCCTTGCTCAGCTGTGAACCAGTGCTGCAGTTCACGCCAGGCTGTGAGGGCCTTGGGCACTCGTCCACAGCCTCCTCCAGCCGTGCACATGTAAGTGCCTGCACAACTAACCAACGGACCAGGGGAACGGTGACAGACAGGTGGTGGGTGGACAGACGGCATTCGACAGGCGGTGGGCATTGCATGGTCCATGGATGATAGGTGACAGATGATAGATCACAGGGGATTGACAGATGGTAGATGGTAGAGGACAGAGGACAGATGATGGGTGATACATGACCCACGGACCATAGGTGATGGATGGTATAGATGAGTAGATGACAGGTGATCAATCACAGATGATTGACAGGTGACAGATGACAGATGTTAGATAAGAGATGACAGGTGATAGATGATACTCAGATGATGAATACATGACAGATGATGGATAGATGACAGATGATGGATGGATAGATGACAGATGACAGGTGATAGATGATGAGTAGATGACAGATGACAGGTGATGAATACATGACAGATAATAGATGACAGGTGGCAGGTGATGGATAGATGACAGGTGACAGGTGACAGATGACAGTGACAGATGATGGATAGAGGACAGGTGACATGATGGATAGATGACAGGTGACAGATGACGGAGGACAGGTGGCAGGTGATGCAAGACACCCAGGGAGGTGGCCACACCGTGTTGGGGACCCTGTGGGCACAGGAGCGCAGGCTCACTGGAGGCCCAGCTGTGTGTGTCCCTCCTCACAGCTGGGCCGAGGCCGCCTGGTCACCGCTGCTCGTCCTGGCTGAGCAGGTCCCCCGGCGCCTCAGGGTCTGCGTGGTGGGATCTCGAGGCCAGGCCTGCACAGAGGCCCTCGTCCCCACCCAGCTCCACCCATGAGCCGGCTGCCACTGTGGGGCCAGGCTTGTACGTCTGAAGGGGCGGGGAGGGAGCCCTGGCCTTGGGCAGGGAGTCCAGTGGACCACGGACCAGGCCACCTCATGACGGACCTGGCGGGCTGTGTGAGAGCCATCTTTTAGGAAGGGCTGGGAAGGTCCGGCAGTGTCATGTGTGGCTCTGGTGGTGCCAGGGATCATGGGCCTGGACTGCCAGCTGCACTCTGAGCGGCCCTCGGGATCGGCTCACGCGGGCTGGGGTCCTGATCTGTGGGGGCTGCTCATGGCCGTGGGCCGCCTCGGGAGCGCCAGCTCTGGCTGGGCCACACTGAACTGTGGTGCAGGAGCCGCGATGCAGAGCACCGAGCGCACTCCGTCCTTACGAAGACAACGCCGTGTGTGCTCGTCTCTCTTCGCGTCCTCTCCCTGCCCTGGCCGTCAAGTGGCCAACAGAGTGACCACTGTGGCCTCAGCCAGCATCCTGTACCCACAGGAGGCCCGGGAGCAGCCTGGAAGCCGCTTGCTCAGCTCTCGGGACCTGCCAAGGGCTCAGGCGCCTCGGAACCGCAGGCCCACCCCGGCCCGCTCTGAAGCCGAGTGCTGAGTCGCAGAGCCCGGTTTCCACCCCGGCAGCCCACGAAAGCCAGCCCGCTGCGGAGGCTCGCGCGACTCTTGGTGTGGAAACTGAGGCCTGCCTCGGGCCTCCTCTTCTCTGTCAGACAGTGGGCAGCCGCTGGGTGGAGGGGGACCGCCAGGCGGGAGGGAGCCCCGGGCTCCACCCAGCACAGAGGGTCACTCTGAGGATCCTGAGATGCTGCTCAGCAGACCCTGCCCCAGGACCTCCACCAGTAAAATGCTCAAGAGGACGCTGGCACAGCAGGGTGGAAATGCCACTGGAGATGTGAGTTAGCAGATGAGAACGTCCGTCCACGGCAGAGTAGCCCGACCTCCACAGCCTGACTGGACAGCCGTGAGGACCGCACAGGGAGACTACAATCTGTTCCATGGTCTGTGAATCCCCTGGGCAGCGGTGGTCACTGACTGGTTTGAAAAGCTGCCTCCCTTCAACACTGGATCAAAGTGTGGGCCATCTGACTTCTAGCTTGTAAAGGGGATTTGTTGGTTTATATCCAAAGGACTTTAAATCAGCATATTATAGTAATGCAGCCACGTCGACATTTATAGCAGCTCAACTCACACTAACTAAACTGTAGAAGCAACCTAGGTGTCCTTCAACAGATGACGGATAAACAAAATGTGATACACACACACACACACACCACAATGGAATATCACTCAACCTTAAAGAAGAATGAAATTACGGCATTTGTTGGTAAATGGATGGAGCTGGAGAACATCATGCTAAGCAAAATAAGCCAATCCCAAAAAACCAAAGCCAAATGTTTTCTCTGATATGTGGATGCTAATTCACAATAAAGGGGTGGCAAGGGGAAAACAGAGGTACTTTCAATTAGGTAGAGAGGAGGGAAGGGAGGGGAGAGAGAGGGGGCAGGAAGGATAGCAGAATAAATCGGACATTATTCCCCGTGCGTGTGTGATGGCAGGACCTGTGGGATTCTGCCTCATGTCCACAGAAGAATGAGAAACTGTACCCCTTATATACGCTGTATCAAAGTACATCCTACGGTCATGTACAGCTAGTTAAAACAGCTTTAAAAATAAATGAACTATTCAAAACAATCCTTGATACCGATCACGTTCAGAGTCAGCTTGTCTCAGGGACCACAGGCCCCCGGCGCTGTTGCTGAAGTGCCCCTGGTGTGCGCGAGGAGGCGCCAGGCGTGTGGTGTGTACCCACCTCCCTGGGCTCCCGG